GAAAATTTGACTTAAGTGAGCGTTAGGATTCGCCCTTTTGTGATAATGTTTATGTTCTGATGTCATGATTTTACACAATTCAGATATTGTCATAATAATCTGTGGTTGTTAAATGATCGTCATGTCACATGGGATGAACAAATCAAGGTTTTGGCTTGTTGTCAGGCTAATCTTAAGAAATGATAATTACCTCAAATGATGGTATCCTGATTAAAATGATGATCATCATCATCATCATATCATGAGGATGGTCATGCAGTTGCATTGACATGTCACTTGTTATAACCCCTTATGACATTTGTATGTCTTGCTTTTGTCAATGTCAAGTCTACTTTTATTACGGACGTTTTGTAAATGCACACACATTTATTATCCAACAAGGTATTTTATTTTATTAAATTTTTACCCCCTTTTTCTCTCCAATTTCATGATTACGATCTTGTCTCATTGCTGCAACTCCCCAACGGGTTTGGGAGAGGCAAAGGTCGAGTCATGCGTCCTCTGAAACATGACCCGACAAACCGCGCTTCTTAACATCCGCTCGCTTAACCCGGAAGTCAGCCGCACCAATGTGTTGGAGGAAACACCGTTCAACTGACGACCGAAGTCAGCCTGCAGGCGCCCTGCCCGCCACAAGGAGTCGCTAGAGCGCGATGAGCCAAGTAAAGCTCCCCCCGGCCAAACCCTCCCCTAACCCGGACGACGCTGGGCCAATTGTGCGCCGCCCTATGGGACTACCAGTCGCGGCCGGTAATGATACAGCCTGGGATCGAACCCCAAGCTGTAGTGATACCGCAACACTGCGATGCAGTGCCTTACACTGCTGCACCACTCGGGAGGCCGCTTAAGTTTTTACTTTTTTAATTTTCTTTTAATGCATCACATAGTTTCAATACACATGAAAAACCCCCCTGACATTATAAGGCTTTGGTGCAACACAAGATCAAAGGGACACATTTAGACAGTGTGTGTTCTCCATAGCACTGTTTTTTTTGGAGCCAGTCGAGGGAATTAAGGGTAGCCTAAGGCAGGATATGGATAAGCCATCGCATTGGGATTTACTTTTGGATTAGAAAATTCAAGGCTTATCAGCAACACACATTTTCCAACCAGGTTCCAGATGAATTGGTCACAGTGGTTACGTCTCAAATGGCACCCTATTCCCTACATAGTGCCCTATGGGCCCTGGTCAAAAATGGTACACTACGAAGGGAATATGGTGGAGGGACATACCCAGTGTGACTCAGCATTTTCAAGATCATTTTAGCTTCTAATCAACCCAACAGAGCTTTTTCCAAACTGAATATCCTACAGAAAGGCGGGCTTACAGTATATTTGGCACTGGCGTAGTAACATTGCTATTTCAATTTAATGCAGTACAATATTTATTTCCCAGCCAATTTTGGCCCAGGTGAGTGCGACATGCTGTGCTGTACTGTGACACTTGCAAAAAAAGGCTGCGGCCGTGTTCATTTGCTAAGATGGTTCATTGCGCATTCGCAGTTGCCCCTCCCTCGCATGCCTGCCTCACCTGGGACTACTTCAGAGATTCCTGTTTTACTACAGTCAAAAGGCGATAATAGCCACAAGGCTGTTGACAACATGACTGCAGTTGTTTATTAACCCATAACAGCCTAAGCCGTGTCTAAGCTAAATGGAATTGTTTTAATCATACAAAGGATCATTTAGCTATTTGATTTTGAAGACCCCTTAAAGTATAAAAAATAAATGTTGGACTACAGGGGAAAAAAGAGGACTGAGCACTCCCCCATTCTCATCGACGGGGCTGTAGTGGAACAGGTTGAGAACTTCAAGTTCCTTGGTGTCCACATCACCAACAAACTATCACGGTCCAAACACACCAAAACAGTCGTGAAGAGGGCACGACAAAGCCTATTCCCCCTCAGGAGACTGAAAAGATTTGGCATGGGTCCTCAGATCCTCAAAAATGTATACAGCTGCACCATCGAGAGCATCCTGACTGGTTGCATCACTGCCTGGTATGGCATCTGCTCGGCCTCCGACCGCAAGGCACTTAACAGCTTCTACCCCCAAGCCATAAGACTCCTGAACAGCTAATCATGGCTACCCAGACTATTTGCATTGTTGTAGCATCTCTGTGATGAAATCTGTAGGGCGCTTGCCATCCTCCTGTCTATCGCTCACACCCCTCACACGTAAATTCGAACGACGGGATCTAGCCTTCAAATTTCTGTTTTTCTCTTTAAGTTCCTTGATTACCTTTTTCAGTTGGAGAACATTCCTTTCCAGTGTTGTGATCGAGTCAGAGTAGCCATTAGCCGCCGTCTCCAGGCTGGTGATGCGGCTGTCAAGTGGACGCCTCGTGATTGGATCTAGCCTGTTCAGTGGTCGTTTTCAGCTCCTCTCTCAGCTGGCTAACCTGGTTTCGTAGCTCTGCTGACTGCATCTCTGCTTAATTTCAATGAATGCCTGTAGAACAGCTTCTTGTCCAGTCACCTCGGCTCTGCATTGTTCAGCCATTGGTGTAGCCTCATGGTCCTTGGCTAGGCTAGCTGGTCTTTTAGCATTAGCCTTAGGCTGATTCTTGCGGTTGGTGCCTGACATTGTCGACAAAAAACTGCCATATGTTTTGGAACAAACTAATCAAATATTTAAACATTCTGGCGAGGAGCTCAGAAAAGTACGTCCTCACATGGCGCAGCTCCAAGCACTCCCCATTCATTTTTTCAAATGGTACCAGGGACCTTCAGACGAGTCTTGTGAGGCCTGTGGACGTCCTAGAGCAAAATAAGTCTCACCTTTCCATAGAGGGGTCATTTTAGTGTGTAGATCAAACTGTTCGGATGCTACAGACAGAAGTTGGCAGATCGGCTGTCCCCAGACGCTTATGGGGGTCGTAGATCAAAACACCATTGTGTTCGTGAGAGTCTCATCTTTCCATAGATGGGTCAAACTGTTCGGAAGCTACAGACAATTTTGTGAGAAGACTGATTTTCGGGATGTCTCATGGTCTGACAAACACCGCTCTAGCTCAATTCGCGGCCATTTCGCCGACACAGGCGGTGAACCCACTTCTGAACCCACTACAGTTGGGACACTTTTTTCGGCTATGAACGCAGCGTGAACCGGCAGGATTAGCCCATTGGTTGTTGTGTCATCTCGCATGGGCAGAGGAACGCGCCCTCCATCTGTAGATGATTGCCAACAAACTTGGTGCTTTTCGTCAGTCATTAATGATTTACCATTGCTGCAGCACAGGCAATTTGAAAAATAACGTATTAACAGACGCATCTGCAGATACATATACCGAACACATATACAGTATGTGTATCCTACACTCAGTGGACAGTTTATTAGGTAAACCACCCTGTTCACGAAATGGTTTGCTCCGACAGACAGTGAGTCATGTAGCCGTGGCTTGCTATATAAAGCAGACAGACAGGCATCGAGGCATTTAGTTACTGTTGGATTGAACGTTAGAATGGACAAAATGAGTGACCTAAGCAACTTTGAGCATGGTATGATCATCGGCCGGTTCCAGTATCTCAGAAATGGCCAGCCTCCTGGGCTTTTTACGCACGACAGTGTCTAGGGTTTACCAAGAATGTTGCGATAAACAAAAATCATCCAGTCAGCGGCAGTTCTGTGGGCGTAAACAGCTCGTTGATGAGAGAGGTCGAAGGGGAATGGCAAAAATCGTGCAAGCTAACAGACGGGCCACAAACAGGCAAATAATGGCGGTGTGCAGAACGGCATCTCGGAACGCACAACTTGTCGGTCCTTGTCACAGATGGGCTATTGCAGCAGACGACCACACCAGGTTCCACTGCTATCAGCTAAAAACAAGAAGAAGTGGGCACGTGATTGCCAACACTGGACAATTGAGGAGTGGAAAAACATTGTCTGGTCCACCGAATCCCAGTTCATGTTGCGTCATGCTGATGGCAGAGTCAGGATTTGGCGTAAGCAGCATGAGTCTATGACCCCATCCTGCCTGGTGTCAACGGTACAGGCTGGTGGTGGTGGTGTAATGGTGTGGAGAATGTTTTCCTGGCACACGATAGGTCCCTTGATACCAATTGAGCAACGTTTGAATGCCACACCTTGTGGAATCCATGCCTCGAACAATACAGGCTGTTGTGGAGGCAAAGGGGGGTCTGACCCGGTACTAGATGGGTGTACCTAATAAAATGTGTTTATCATATAGAGAGAAAGAGAGTAAATTAGTTTATGAATCTTATGCTGGATGTCTCCACACATCCAATGTACAACAATTCACACAACAGGAAATGCTTCTCTCTCTCTCTCTCTCTCTCTCGCTCTCTCTCTCTTGCTCTCTCGCTCTCTCTCTCACTGTTGTGTGTGTAAATGGATTTTCACAGTGTGACGCCTTGACGAGTTCATTTGCTTTAAGGTTACGACTGAGAGGAATTTAAGTAAACTGAACACTAAAGCAAGTCAAGCATCGTGTGTCGGATGATAAATGTTCGGTATTTCTCTCCCACCTACTACTTCGGAAAGCGAACGGCAAGGACAGTATACAATGCTGTTCTAAGAAACAACTCCCTATGGATGGACCCGTAGCTTTACCAATCTGTATAACACTTAATTTATAATAATGCATTATAATGCAGTTATAATGCATTGTAAGTATGTTATCATCTTTATTCTGATTTATAACAGCCATGTTGAGTCAGTTGAAAATGCTCATACATGCTTATAACTAGTAATAAATCATTATACCTGTTGGCTTTCAGTAAATTGTTACTCTAATCTGTAACACTGTCTTATCTGCAATACCAAAGAGAATGAACACTGTGTAGCAGCGTATTAACCAAAGCAACACAAGCCCAATTTATTAAGCATACAGTTTAAAATAATAATGAACCAAGCAATAAGTACACTACTGGAATATTGGAATCTTTCACAACCTAATAAAAACCTTATTCTCCTGAGTCCCTAAACTCCAAGAGCAGAATTCTCAAAGAATAATGCATTATTCCACAGTATATTGGTATTTATGTTGCCGAGCACTTTCTGTAGAGCAGAACTCCCTCTAGTAATTCAAAGGCAAGAAGAGAGAATAAGATAAATCCCTGTGTATCGTTGAGATTTAAATGAAGATTATTTAGGGCCCCGTGTAGCTCAGTTGGTAGAGCATGGTGCTTGCAACGCCAGGGTTGTGGGTTCGATTCCCACGGGGGGCCAGTATGAAAAAATATAAAATGTATGCACTCAGTAACTGTAAGTCGCTCTGGATAAGAGCGTCTGCTAAATTACTAAAATTTTGTAGAAAGACACGAAGACAAGAGACCCAGCAGGCTAGTCTCTTTTTATTGCCATGTAACTGTTATGAGTGTTGTATTGTCAATTTGTTTTCTACTGTATTTAAACGGCACTTTAAACATGTACATGATCCTGCAACAAAATTTCCCCATGGGGACAATAAAGTCAGTAAAGTAAAGACTAGCGAAGGGCCTATTCAGACTGTTCTTCCTGATTCTGGTGCGAGTCATCCATCCTTTAGTGGTGAATCTTAAAGTAACTGCCCAGTGTTTCCAGATTTCTATGAAATATGACCTATAAATACTTCCAATATGAGTTAAATAGTTTTCCTTCAAAAAATTGTAATTAAGTATGTAAAAAGCAGCTTTTCTGTGTTGAATGGTGTGGGCATACCCCAACAACAGAATGGTGTGGGCGTATACCAGTCTTTAAAATAGTAATGGAAGAAGACCGCTAATTGGCCAGCTCATCCTCCTCAGAGAGATGACATCTTGTTCTATGAGTAATTAGCAATCATTTTTTAAACGGTCTGTTTGAGATACAGGTTTGAGGTGGGGTTTTTTAAGTGTTTTTTCTCCAATTTATACTTAGGCCACAAATACGATTATAGGACGAGTCAACAACTTTTAAAAGTGAGATTTTCACTGGGAAGTTACTTTAACTTCCACTTAATAAGTCAAATTGTAATGTAGTCATGCATTGATGTCAGTGTAAGACTAAGTTAAAAGTTTGACTTAAGTGGAAGTTAGGATTCACACTTAAGTTTGCACCTGTCACTTTTTATAGCTGTCTTTATTTCTACTTCACTTTATTTGCTTTACCTTAGTTCTTCCCTTTCTTCATTTTGTATTCCTTTGAAGTTGTATTCCCTCTGTCTTGTAATGTTATTCATTGTGATCTAAAAGGTCAAACTGATCTTAAGTCAGCTACCTACTCTGAGACACTTTATGAATATGGTACCAGATTTCTTAAAGCCTGGTCAATGTGGCAACAGTGTGACACATACAGTAAGACCATTCTTTCCTCAAGACGGTAATGTTATTCACAGGCCGCATCTTGTGTGTGTGTGTGTGTGTGTGTGTGTGTGTGGATGCTGCGTCTCAGGAAGAGACGGGGAGGAACAGGAGGCGCTAACAGACGACTGGCCCTCATCTACATCTAATGTCCTTGCTATCCACTGCATATTCATACAAATGGCATACTGTATGATTCTGGAGTAGGTTCATTTCCAAACCAAATTTCAATCACGAGGCAACTGTTTTCAGTGTGCTACATCTGTGGATGTGCCATTATGTGGCCAGATATGAAACAGAATAAATGTGTAGTTTAATATTAATAGAAAAGGGATAACTAATGCAAACCAAAAATATTCAAAGAGAACAATTACACATTTTGTTTTATTCATCTTGATGAGTTGTATGAATAAATGTATTGGTTTGCAAAATGCTGCTCTTGACAGGTGATCTCGACGGTTGGCTATGACTTAAAAATACAATCCAAGCAGACCAATTCAACTGATGTGGTGCAAATTATTGACAATGTAAGTCTGTTGAATGCAGTCTCCATTTAAAGTACAGAAATCCATCTTATGAATGTGGAGGAATAACCTATTACAGTATGTAGAGTAAATCATATAACTACAGTGCCTTCAGAAAGTATTCATAGCCTTAGACTTATTCCACATTTTGTTGTGTTACAGCCTGAATTCAAAATGGATTAAATATATTTATTTTTCTCACCTCATCTATACACAATACCCCATAATGACAAAGTGAAAATATGTTTTTAGAAATGTTTGCATTTATTAATTGATTGAAAATTAAATACAGAAATATATTGAGTCAATACTTTGTAGAAGCACCTTTGGCAGCGATTACAGCTGTGAGTCTTTCTGGGTAAGTCTCTAAGAGTTTTCCACACCTGGATTGTGCAACATTTGCCCATTATTCTTTTCAAAATTCTTCAAGCTCTGTCAAATTGATTGTTGATCATTGCTAGACAACCATTTTCAGGTCTTGCCATAGATTTTCAAGTAGATTTAAGTCAAAACTGTAACTCGGTCACTCAGGAACATTCAATGTCTTCTTGGTAAGCAACTCCAGTGTAGATTTGGCCTTCTGTTTTAGGTTATTGTCCTGCTGAAAGGTGAATTTGTCTCCTAGTGTCTGTTGGAAAGCAGACTGAACCAAGTTTTCCTCCATGATTTTGCCTGTGCTTAGCTCCATTCCGTTTCTTTTTTATCCTGAGAAACTACCCAGTGCATAACGATTACAAGCATACCCATAACATGATGCAGCCACCACTATGCTTGAAAATATGGAGAGTGGTACTCAGTAATGTGTTGTATTGGATTTGCCTCAAACATAACACTTTGTATTCAGGACAAAAAGTGAATTGCTTTGCCACATTTTTTGCAGTTTTACTTTAGTGCCTTGTTGCAAACAGGATGCATGTTTTGGAATATTTTATATTCTGTACAGGCTTCCTTCTTTCCACTACAATGTTGTGGATCCTTCCTCAGTTTTCTCCTATCACAGCCATTAAACTCTGTAACTGTTTTAAAGTCACAATTGGCCTCATGGTGAAATCCCTGAGCGGTTTCCTTCCTCTCCGGCAACTAAGTTAGGAAGGACGCCTGTATCTTTGTAGTGACTGGGTGTATTGATACACCATCCAAAGTGTAACTAATAACTTCACCATGCTAAAAGGGATATTCAATGTCTGCTTCTTTTATTTTGACCCATCTACCAATAGGTGCCCTTCTTTGCGAGGCATTGGAAAACCTCCCTGATGTTTGTGGTTGAATCTGTGTTCGAAATTCACTGCTCGACTGAGGGACCTTACAGATAATTGTGTGTGGGATACAGAGATGAGGAAGTCATTCAAAAATCATGTTAAACCCTATTATTGCACACAGAGTCCATGCAACTCATGTGACTTGTTAAGCACATTTTTACTGCTGAACTTATTTAGGTTTGCCATAACAAAGGGGTTGAATACTTATTGACTGAAGACATTTCAGCTTTTCATTTTTTATGAATTTGTACGAAAATCATTGTGCTTCTTCACATGAAGGTGACATATATTGAGCATACATTTGCACCATATTCAGTAGTAGGCTATACAAGGCATGGAAATGGAACCACCGTCATATTTAATCCAAGTTGCTAATTCTGAAGGACATCTCTGCTATTTCTGTTTAAAAAATGCAGTCACAACATGTTTTCTGTAAAGATGCACATTTAGGCCAATATTAGCTAAAAACGTGATTTATTTATTTAAACTTTGAGGACAGAAGGATAAAAGCAACATAATATTCAGTGCTGTCTAATTTGAATGAAGCCTGGTTCTTTGGGATGTTTTCTGTCCTCAGATACGGAAAGCTGTGAAAGCCTGTTTGGAGATGAAGAGAGAGGTCCCAAGGAATGTCCCAAGAGACTAAGGGTATATCCTATATGTGTAGGCCTACCTATGTTAGCAAATGTTATATACAAAAATACAGTTAAACATCAACTGGAGCAGGCCAACACTGCTGAAGGTCTGCTGGTTGTGCAGGGTTCTGTTTCAGCCCAGCAATAACACACTTGATCCAATTTAGCAAATCTAATGAATGTGCGATTGCTAGGCTGGAATAGAAGTCTGCTCTGCCAGTAGATCAGGGATCAGTCGAGTAATGTTGGCCACCGCTGGTATTGAGTTTTTCTTCCCACTTGAAATGATGCTTTAGTATTAACAGCCTACTGGTTACTACTCAATTATCTATTGTTGTTTAGACTAAGATGTCTAATCTTTACATACGAGTTAGCTTATTTGTATATTTTGAAGTGATGAAGTTTTGATCGTCTCTCTCTCTCAGTATATCAGCTATGTAAATCAATTTTATCATATGGCATGCATCATCAATTCGGCCATACACTCAAAAAATTAGGGGTTCAACAAGGGTTCTTCTAAGATCCTCAAAGTTCTTTGAAGAACCTTAGGGTTCTTGGCACTGAAAATGGCCCCCAAAAGGTTATTCCAAGAACCCCATAGGAGGTGGGGTTCATCGAGGAACCTCCTTAGTTGGTGGGGGTTCTTGCAGGAACCTAACTGACCAACTGAAACATTTGGATTTGAAAGGACAGCAGGTGCAGGCACTTAACTGAAAAATGTAAAGATCTCCTCAATTTAAGGTAAGGTTTGTCCCTTGTATGATCTAAATTGATATTGTTTTATGATGATAACATCTATCTTTTCATATTTGTGCAAATCTTTCTAAAACAGAAAATTGACACAATTAAATGGATATCAATCAAAGAAGAGATACGAATATGTAGGCTATAAGAATATGTTGAAGGCTAGCTTTATTGGATGCAAATGACTGAACTGCTCACTTTTGTGTCTGTGTCTGCAGGTATACAGACGAGGAGGCATACAAAGGTATGTCAATTCGTATTGGTATGTTATGTTGATCACATTTCCCATCCTCCTCCCTTACCTCTTCAATGAATACCCCATAGGCCTCTACATTATGGACAAGGTATGTGTATGAAAACTATTATCAAAACATTCACATTCACCACATAAACCAAGGTATGAATTCTGTCGTGTGCATGTTTTGTTAATCATCTGTATAATTACTATTTTTTGGATTCACAGACTTCACCCTCCCTACACCTCTGATGAATATAACAGGAAACCTGTTCAATCACCATGCACTGCAAAATCATTCTGGCTATGGATATGGAGAACATCAACACATTAACATCAACACGCCAGAGGATATACCCATTGGACATGGGGCTCTGCTGGGAGTTTACCTCATATTTGGATTTTAAATTAATTAAATTAAATTCTGCTTCCCCACAAAAATCATAATAAACACTGAGAACTAAAATATTGTGTTATTGTTATTATTGTTATGTGTATTATTATTATAATTAATAAAAATATATTATAATTAATAATAATATTATAATTAATAATAATATTATAATTAATAATAATAATAGGGGGGGGGGGGGGGCATTACAAAATTTCACCCCAAAAGGTTATTTGAGGATCCATTAAAAGGGGTTATTTGAAGAACCCTTTTTAAGGGTTCTTCGACAAACTTATAGGGGTTCCCCCACAGTTTCAATTTGAAGAACCCCTAAAGGATACTCCAGGAACCTTTTCTTTGTAGAGTGTAGCGTTCACATTTGTATTCCTAGTCATTAGTAATCAAGCTCCACACAAACAGATATCAATGGAGCACACAGATGATCGTATTATCACATTCACATGAATTATTAGAATATTACATACAATTCTGTATTAATATCAGTGATGTATTGGTAAAAAAAGGTGGGTAATAGGTAAACTATAAACTCCAGTGGGCGTTTGAGATAAAATGAACAACCACCGATATCAACAAAAACATATGACATTTTTAGAACTGTATAGTTTGCATTTTAACAGATTTTTTTATGTATGCCTAGGCCTGTAGGGAAGGTGATGTTCATATTGAAACATATCTTTTTTTAAAGTTCCTAACTTGTTTGATAAGAATAGTACAGACCCCACATGACGCCCAACCCCAAGTTTGAGAACCACTGTACTAACCTCTCTCTCTCCTTGCTTCCCCTCTCTCTGTCTCCTCTGCTTCTCCTGCATGCATTGCAGCCTGCCTCACCACTGAGCGCCACATCACAGTCTGTCTCAGTAACCTACTCTCTGTAAAGCAAAGTCATGAGAACTTAGTAGCCTATATTTTGCTCCTGCTGAGGAAGGCTCTGTTTAATGTTAGCTTCTTACTTCATCCTTCTAGCTGGCTAAGTTATACTAGCCAGAGCCCTTGAACATTACGCAATAGAAGACTCTGCAGACTACCCACCTGACTGACTGTAGGTATCTATAAGCAATTATTTACCAGGTGGCGGATTAGCCGTTTGAGAGTGGTGAATGTGCTGCTAAAAAGGCAAATCCGGGAGGCAAATCCGATGGACGCAGGCTAACACAACAAACAAACCACTATTCATGATTCCACACGTTAGCAAAGAGGCAGGCGTGATTAGAACTCAGTCAGATCAAGAATATAAGCGTTTGGAGCTTTGATCAACGCTGGGAGCAATATTTAGATGTTGATCCGTAATTTATTTCCTTTATTGTGTAAAACATATGTAATAAATCTTTTGATTTTGATTAGAAAAAAATTACAGAGTTCGGTGCCCTCATATAGTTATGGCCCTGGTTGTTCCTATAGATAGACAGTAGCCTACATAGTTGCTCTATGTATCACTGACCATAGTCAACCTTTCAGGTCAATAATATGGTGTTTAAATTAACATATTGTTGGCTTTATAATCGTGAGAGAAATTGAACTAGCTAGTTGCTAGCTAGTTAGTTATACCTAGGTAGCTCACAAGGTTAGCTGACTTTTCTCAAAACGAACCTCATTGTGTCTAGCTACTTCTTGTCCCTCGTGCTAGCCTTTACAGCCAAATATCACTTCAGAAACGTCAACATTAAAAAAATATATATTGATATGGCCGGCATTGTGGACGATTTCTCCCCTCTTGCTGCAGCTTCAGCGCATCTCGAAATAACAGAGAAATGCCGTCAAAACCAGCTTGCAGCAAACGTTCTAAAATGTTTTGTCACCAGTGCTTTTTTGTTTTGTTAAAATAAATTGTGCTCACGCAGTGTTGCTCTTATGACACTAATCTGGTGAGCATGCACCTTTGGAGCTCCGCCCAAGCAAGGCATTTGATTGGTTTGACGTGCTGTGAGGTGTCACTGATTTTCACTGGGTTCCGACCCCTCTTTAGCTGATTTCTGCCATGGAACTTCCCCAGGCTTCCCTTTTTTGGTTTGCAATGAGGCTACCCTAACCCTAACCTTAACCCCTAACCCTAAAACTAAACCTAACTCCTAATTCTAACCCTTAACCCTAAAGCTAATTCCAACCCTAATTGTAACCCTAACCCTAAACCTAACCAATAAGCCTAAAATAGCCCTTTTCCTTGTGGGGACCGGGAAAATGTCCTCACTTGTCCAATATTTCCTTGTTTCACTATCATTGAAGACTTCTGGTACACACACACACACACACACACACACACACACACACACACACACACACACACACACACACACACACACACACACACACACACACACACACACACACACACACACACAAAGTATATGATACAAAGTATATAATTAATTTAACAATAGGACGGTTTCCTGCACACAGATTAAGCCTAATCCTGGATTTAAAAAGCATTTTCAATGGAGATTCTCCATTGAGTTAGCTTTTTAGTTCAAGACCAGGCTTAATCTGTGTCCCAGAAACGTGTCCCTATTAGTATTGTATCTCTTTGGGCCGGTTTCCCTGACACAGATCCCTGACACTAGTCATGGACTAAAAAGCACTTTGAATGGAGAATCTCCATTGAACATGCTCAATTTGCTTAATCTGTGTGAAGTAAACCGGCCCTACAGGTTTGCCCTCAATCAATCTCCGCCAGCCTCTCTCCATGTACCATACATACGACACAATGACCACATCGCATCTGAGCGTGAAGTACTTGACAATGATTGCAACAGCGACACACTCAAACTAACTTTACTTTCAAGGAGAGACGGGGGCTTTTGTCGAGCTCTTTCCCAGCCATCTTCATTTCTATGCAAAGGGAGTTGCTTCTCTTTCCATCATGTCACCGTTTCTGAGAAACAGTTATTCATGAGGCTAAAATGAATAGTCTTGACAACATGGGAAGAAAGTGCTTTGCTCAACACGAGCCTGCCAAATGCTCATGAAAGGACGTTTCTAAATGTGTTATCGTTTTCAACTACAGTGGACATTAAAATACTTAGTAGAGAAAAGGTTTGAAGTAATAACCTTTTATTGACAATACACTTTTGTACGCTGCTGCTACTCTGTTAATTATTTATGCATAGTCACTTTAACTCAACCCACATGTACATATTACCTCAACTACCTCAACTAGCCGGTGCCCCCGCATATTGACTCTGCACCGGTACCCCCCTGTATTTAGCCTCCCTACTCTTATTTTATTTTACTTCTGCTCTTTTTTTATCAACACTTTTGTTGTTGTTGTTGTTTTATTTTACTTTTTTATTAAGAAAGAAATGCATTGTTGGTTAAGGGCTGTAAGTAAGCATTTCACGGTAATGTCTACACCTGTTGTATTCGGCGCATGTGGCAAATACAATTTTATTTTATTTTATTTTATTAGAAAAAAGGGTTCCAAAAGGGTTCTTCTGCTGTCCTCACGGGAGAACACTTTGAAGAACACTTTTAGGTTCTAGATATAACCTTTTTTTCTAAGTGTACCTGTATACCTAGAAATTAAAAACAGTTGAGTAGGCTGACTGGCCATTGACTTTTATTATAGTTAATATGTTGAATTCCTACATAAAAAATATACTTAATTAACAACAAAAGCACAATGACAACATATCCATATACACATGAATATGCCTGATTCTCTTACTAGTATCTTACAAATGAAATAAATTCAACTATGGAAAAATTGGGAGAATATGTATTTCTATGATATATCTATGTAGATACATACACTACCATTCAAACGTTTGGGGTCACTTAGAAATGTCCTTGGTTTTTGAAAGAAAAGCAATTTTTTTGTCCATTAAAATAACATCAAATTGATCAGAAATACAGTGTAGACATTGTTAATGTTGGAAATGGCTATTGTAGCTGGAAATGGCTGATATTTAATGGAATATCTACATAGGCGTACAGAGGCCCATTATCAGCAACCATCAGTCCTGTGTTCTAATGGCACAGCTGAAAACGGTTGTGCTGATTAAAGAAGCAAAAAAACTGGCCTTCTTGAGACTAGTTGAGTATCTGGAGCATCAGCAATTGTGGGTTCGATTACAGGCTCAAAATGGCCAGAAACAAATAACTTTCTTCTGAAACTCATCAGTCTATTCTTGTACTGAGAAATGAAGGATTTTCCATGCGAGAAATTGCCAAGAAACTGAAGAACTCGTACAATGCCGTGTACTACTCCCTTCACAGAACAGCACAAACTGGCTCTAACCAGAATAGAAAGAGGAGTGGGAGGCAAAAAAAAAGATTAAGATGGGCAGTCTGAGATATGGCTTTTTCTTTGCAACTCTGCCTAGAAGGTCAGCATCCCGGAGTCGCCTCTTCACTGTTGACGTTGAAAAGGGTTTTCTAATGATCAATTAGCCTTTTAAAATGATAAACTTGGATTAGCAAACACAACGTGCCATTGGAACACAGGTCTGATGGTTGCTGATAATGGGCCTCTGTACGCCTATGTAGATATTCCATAAAAAATCAGCTGTTTCCAGCTACAATAGCCATTTACAACATTAACAATGTCTAACTTTTGAACGGTAGTGTACATTCTTTAAACAGGTCAATTATCTGGGATAAACTACTTTAAAAAGGCATAAACATAACCACTAGAAAACCTAACTATAAAAACATCACATTGCCCTTATGTTAGAATAAGAAAGCAGTGGAGTGCAACATCAATACCCCCCCCCCCTACAGTAGGAACAATTCAGCATTCAAAACACAACATCACAGTTTGGTTCCTATCTAAGGAAATAAATTATCTTTAGGCTATGCAGCGAGAATGCAAAGTGACTAATTTCAGAGACTCTGTGAAACGTTGGTCTGCATGCATCTTAAACTGCTAGCCCCAAACGTTCTCTTCAATTGTACTGAAGAGTAAGCAAGTTATATATAGCAAGTCATTAAAAAGCATGTATCACGTTGCAGTAACTGTATAATATCTCCACGCTGTTGAAATGCACTACGACTAAACTAGTGTCTTTTGATTCAAGACTTAATCAATTCTAGCTTTAAAAAAAATTGCCATTGGCTTTTGCGAATCACTTTCATGTCTACTGTTTTGGCTGCTTTTGCTTTGCCCCTTTTTTCAAACAAACAGCACATTACGGTAATGACCAGTGCTGCTTGCATGTTTTTTTAAAAGTCTACCAACCTTGCCAGCAGGCATTCCAGCTAAGATAGTTAGACAAGCTAGCTACTCTAACTTGATTGATAGCCTGAAATGGCTAGTTATGAGGTTGGGAGACTGGGAACCTATCTGGGCTAGCTAAAGCCAACTTCATTACATTTCTAGGTGAAATAAAGGAATGAAAATTATATATATATATATTTTTTTTAACAGGACAAATCTGAGGGGGCATGTGCCCCTGTGCCCCCTATGGGCATGACGTCTCTGGTCGTTGGTACATAAGAAAGATGCCGCAGGATGCTGTTTTAACGCAGTGTTCCGTGTCCGGTAGTTTTGAACTGAAACACTTGGATGAAATGTTGCATTTGCTGTCTTGTGGTTGTGTTGTGTGCATGGGGGCAGGAGACATGGTGTTCCGTGGTCTGCTGCTAGTTGTTAGTCATAATCCACCAAGATGCTACAGGAAAAAGAGAGGAGTTTCATTTGAGTTGGGGATCAATGGGTAAATAACAAGTCATTTCTAGGAGACCTGGGTTCAAATACTTTTGCTGGGCTTGATTGAGCTTCCCAATAGAATAATTGCAAAAGTGCAAACCCCACCCATCCAGCTCTCCAGGCAGGCTAAAGCAAATGCTAAAAGTATTTGAAGAATTTCAAATAGTATTTGAACCCAGGTCTGCGTTCTGGTCCGTCTCCATAGGGCAGGGATCATCAATTAGATTCAGCCGCGGGCCGATTTTTTTCTTGAGCGGATGGTCAGGGGGTTGGAACAATTTGTAGACTCCAAATTGACCACTAGAAGCCCAAACAGATACAATATTTGACTGAAACATAATCATTTCAAACCTTGCTTACATTTGTATATGATCACATACACTGAGTATACCAAACATTAGGAACACCTTCCCAATATTGTGTTGCACCCCCTTTTTTCCCCTCAGAACAGCCTCAATTTGTCGGGGCATGGACTCTACAAGATGTTGAAAGCATTCCACAGGGATGCTGGCCCATGTTGACTCCAATGCTTCCCACAATTGTGTCAAGTTGGCTGGATGTCCTTTGGGTGGTGGACCATTCTTGATACACAAGGGAAACCGTTAAGCGTGAAAAACCCAGCAGCGTTGCAGTTCTTGAAACAAACCGATTCACTTGGCACCTACTACCATACCCTGTTCAAAGGCCCTTAAATCTTTTGTCTTGCCGATTCACCCTCTGAATGGCACAAATACACAATCCATGTCTCAAGGCTTAAAAATCCTTCTTTAACCTGTCTCCTCCCCTTCCTCTACACTGATTGAAGTGGATTTAATAATAATATAATATGCCATTTAGCAGACGCTTTTATCCAAAGCGACTTACAGTCATGCGTGCATACATTTTTTTTTTTGTGTATGGGTGGTCCCGGGGATCGAACCCACTACCTTGGCGTTACAAGCACCGTGCTCTACCAGCTGAGCTACAGAGGACCACAATTTAACAAGTGACACCAATAAGGGATCATAGCCTTCACCTGGATTCACCTGGTCAGTCTATGTCATGGAAAGAGCAGGTGTTCCTAATGTTTTGTACACTCAGTGTATATCTCTCTATTATGTGTGGGAACACTTTGGAACAGATTTCTAAAATTAAAATCACTTGGAGCTGATTTGCTGGTGTTTTTACAGTCTTATGTCAGTGGTGGGGGCAAACAAAATCACACGGGGGCCAAATTCTGGGAACCCTGCCATGAGTGGAACACCACCATAGGGGGTATGTCTTGTTCCCAAAGGATGGCTTAACAACGCCTATCTCCAAATTGTAACTTTTTTCTTAAGCCACTGTAATCGCTCAAAGACCAGTGTGAAATGATGTACTTGCCTTAGGACATGTTATTGTGTATGTTTGGGCTCTTTTGTTGAGCAATAATGTGAAAACATTTGCAGGAAAACACAAGTGATGCTGTAAATACAGATAGGTATCGAAATGGACACAAACAAACACACACGCACACACACACACATGAGTTTACCTGGGAGCAGCATGGTAGTAGAAACAAGCTCGGAATCCTCCAACGTATCAATGACACAGCGCTGGAAATTCTTACTGGCATCGGACTGCAGGTAGCTAGGGAGGACAGGAACACAGCAACCAGCAATAGACTTGACATTACAGTAAGACAATCATCCTTATTAACAATATTCAATAGGGGAACGGCTTGGTTAGTAAACGACATTACATAATAAGACTTTGCACTGAAGATATGCACATCAATTTATAAGAAAATTAGAATGTACATACTATTGAATGCAAAGACATTCAACACATAACACATATTACTGTATCAGAGTTTGATCTATACTGCAGATGACATACTGTATATATTGGTGTATGCGTGAGTGTGTGTCATGATATGAGAGATGGGCCATCTGCTCATCATCAGTGGAGGAGAGCGCTTCCATCAGAGAGATGAGCAGCCTGCCAGCGTCTCACACACACACCCAGCAGACCCACCTCATCCGGGAGATATGATCCTGCCAAAACTCATACATTATGTAGCACGACTTCCCTGGGAGCTTCTGGATAGACACACTGAGAGAGCGAGAGAGAGAGAGAGAGAGAGAGAGAGAGAGAGAGCGCGCGAGAGAGAGAGAGAGAGAGAGAGAGAGAGAGAGAGAGAGAGAGAGAGAGAGAGAGAGAGAGAGAGAGAGAGAGAGAGAGAGAGAGAGAAAGAGATAGAAAGAGAGAGTGTGAAAGAGAGAGAAAGCGAGAGAAAGAGCGAGAGAAAGAGTGAGAGAGAGAAAGAAAGAGCGCAAGAGAGTTGAAGTTAGCATCTGACCCAGTCAGTCAATCAGGCCAAAGCAATTAGATATAATTTGCATTAAATGGGCACTTATGGCACAAATTCATTATTATGTCTTTTAATGGATCAATCGATGTTCCCTATGAAAATGTCACTAATTCTTAGGAACTTTTGGAAAGTATTATGCATGCCATAGTTGGGATCAAATAGAACAATCCCATTGGTGAGACATTTTCTATAATCTAGGAATAGGCTTTTCCTGCCAACGTGATCTGACCAGGAAAAACTCTTGGCCTTAGTTCATGTTTTTCTGGCCAGGTCACGTGAATCAATTGGTGGCGAGTCACGTGCCCTGCATTGCCCTGTGCCAAGCCACTGTGCTTTGGGGTCTAAGCCGGGTAACTGTAATGCACTTCGCACTGATGTAAAAAAAGGGATTCATAAAATAAGTTTGATTGTTTGATTTGACTCACTGCAAGTTGTCGCTGTGGTTGGACGTGGCGTCCACATAGCTCTTGAGCACCTTCTGGAACTCCTCGAGGTCCTCCTCTGTCGCCGACATCTGTGTCTGCACCAGCAGGATGTTCTGTTGGCACGGAGACCACAAGGAAACACAACATTTCAATTTCGGTCATTTAGCAGAGGCTCCTATCCAGAGCGACTTAAGCCTAATTAATACTCACGTACGTACGCCACGCAAGAACTACAATTAGCTACGAAAAATGGCGACCTCAAAGCAAGTATGCGCGATTGTCATTTTAGGTAGCTAATTTAGTTGTTGCCTTGCTTATGTACATAAGGTATAACTTAGGCTTTACAGTCAGGGCATTCAACTAAGGTAGGTAAGACAACCACATATCAGTTATCTCAAGTAAAACTTTCTTTTAAAAAAGCAGATATCGGCAAGTAAGAAAAGACGAGTGCAAGAAACACAGGAACAGTAAGGTGTTTGAGAGATTACATCAAACTCTCCTCTAAGCTACTGTACCTGGGCTATAGGCAAAACAATGGTCTGGTAAAGTACAGATACAGGTTTTAGGAGCAGATAGGGGAGTGTTTTCTTTGTGCCTGTGAGGAGAAACTCAATGTGTGAATGATCAATCTAAAGGGCTCCTGTGAAAAATTGGAGGTGTTCTGCTTACAGTCACCCAGGGGCGGATGCTAATGTGAATTAATTTGGATTGCGTCATGTGCGGTCCGCTTTGTAAAACAAAAACAAAGTGACACTGTAGTACTCACTGTACAGAAATGGGATGTGTGTGGAAACTTAAAAAGATTAACAAAAACTTTTAGTGTACTTTTATTGGATAACTGTCCAATGACTGGCCTAAGTTGCCCCTGAGGGTATTAATAAAGTTGCATTGAACTGAATCGAATTTAGAGTAACAACAATCATCACTCACAGATTTGTATGTACTGGCCAGCGTATCTTCTTTCAGGGGTTCCAACTTTGGACCCTGAAAAAGACAGTTGAAAACCTAGTTATAATGGGAAAAGCTCAAACTCACATTGACTAGGACTTGAATTAGACCCGGGTTCAAAAAGTATGTTTTCTTTCTTTCAAATACTTTAGCTCTGTCTTGACTGAGCTTTCCTGACCAATGGAATGGAATAGTCCCAAAAGTGTAAACCACAACCATGTGGCTCAAAAGAAAACAAATACTACTTGAACCCAGGTCTGACTAGAATATAATTATCTCCTGCAGGTATATAATATAATTATCCAATACATTGTATCATTGACACACATTCTGACTAGAGTTAATTTCCAACCGCTGCCAGTACACTGGCAACCCTCTATTTCTATCCAACCATGAGACATAGAGCAATAAGCTATCATATGAAATTACAGTGCACTACAGTACATGCTGCAGGTTATGAATTGCTCTGATATTGCAGTATAGGTCCCTCTGGATTGACAAACTAGAAAGAGACAGAGAGAGTGAGATACTGACTGGCTAGCAGACAGACAGGCAGACAGGCAGATAGGCAAGCAGGCAGACAGATAGACAGACAGGCAGACAGACAGGCAGACAGACAGGCAGACCGACAGGCAGAATGTGAGCGAGAAAGAGAGAGAGAGAGAGATAGAGAGAGAGAGAAAGTGTGAGAGAGAGAGAGAAAATTAGAGAGAGAGAAAGTGAGAGAGAGAAAGTGAGAGAGAGAAAGTGAGAGAGAAAGTGAGAAAGAAAGTGAGAGAGAGAGAGAGAAAGTGAGAAAGAAAGTGAGAGAGAAGGAGAGAGAAAGTGAGAAAGAGAGAGAGAGAGAGAAAGTGTGAAAGTGAGAAAGGGTAAGTGAGAGAAGAGAGGAGAGGAGAGAGAGAGAGAAAGTGAGAAAGTGTGTGAGAGAGAGAGAGAGAGAGAGAGAGAGAGAGAGAGAGAGAGAGAGAAAGAGAGTGAGAGAGAGAGACAGAAAAATATGTGTTCCTTAGTGCAATATACACTGCTCAAAAAAATAAAGGGAACACTTAAACAACACAATGTAACTCCAAGTCAATCACACTTCTGTGAAATCAAACTGTCCACTTAGGAAGCAACACTGATTGACAATAAATTTCACATGCTGTTGTGCAAATGGAATAGACAACAGGTGGAAATTATAGGCAATTAGCAAGACACCCCCAATAAAGGACTGGTTTTGCAGTTGGTGACCACAGACCACTTCTCAGTTCCTATGCTTCCTGGCTGATGTTTTGGTCACTTTTGAATGCTGGCGGTGCTTTCACTCTAGTGGTAGCATGAGACGGAGTCTACAACCCACACAAGTGGCTCAGGTAGTGCAGCTCATCCAGGATGGCACATCAATGCGAGCTGTGGCAAGAAGGTTTGCTGTGTCTGTCAGCGTAGTGTCCAGAGCATGGAGGCACTACCAGGAGACAGGCCAGTACATCAGGAGACGTGGAGGAGGCCGTAAGAGGGCAACAACCCAGCAGCAGGACTGCTACCTCCGCCTTTGTGCAAGGAGGAGCAGGAGGAGCACTGCCAGAGCCCTGCAAAATGACCTCCAGCAGACCACAAATGTGCATGTGTCTGCTCAAACGGTCAGAAACAGACTCCATGAGGGTGGTATGAGGGCCCGTGCAGGACGTTTGGCATTTGCCAGAGAACACCAAGATTGGCAAATTCGCCACTGGCGCCCTGTGCTCTTCACATGAAGGCAGGTTCACACTGAGCACATGTGACAGACGTGACAGAGTAGGGAGACGCCGTGGAGAACGTTCTGCTGCCTGCAACATCCTCCAGCATGACCGGTTTGGCGGTGGGTCAGTCATGGTGTGGGGTGGCATTTCTTTGGGGGGCCGCACAGCCCTCCATGTGCTCGCCAGAGGTAGCCTGACTGCCATTAGGTACCGAGATGAGATCCACAGACCCCTTGTGAGACCATATGCTGGTGAAGTTGGCCCTGGGTTCCTCCTAATGCAAGACAATGCTAGACCTCATGTGGCTGGAGTGTGTCAGCAGTTCCTGCAAGAGGAAGGCATTGATGCTATGGACTGGCCCGCCCGTTCCCCAGACCTGAATCCAATTGAGCACATCTGGGACATCATGTCTCGCTCCATCCACCAACGCCACGTTGCACCACAGACTGACCAGGAGTTGGCGGATGCTTTAGTCCAGGTCTGGGAGGAGATCCCTCAGGAGACCATCCGCCACCTCATCAGGAGCATGCCCAGGCGTTGTAGGGAGGTCATACAGGTACGTGGAGGCCACACACACTACTGAGCCTCATTTTGACTTGTTTTAAGGACATTACATCAAAGTTGGATCAGCCTGTAGTGTGGTTTTCCACTTTAATTTTGAGGGTGACTCCAAATCCAGACATCCATGGGTTGATAAATTTGATTTCCATTGATAATTTTTGTGTGATTTTGTTGTCAGCACATTCAACTATGTAAAGAAAAAAGTATTTAATAAGATTATTTCATTCATTCAGATCTAGGATGTGTTATTTTAGTGTTCCCTTTATTTTTTTGAGCAGTGTATATCCCCCCCTCAGGATCCCCATATAACTCAGAGGAGATATTCCCCAGCCTTGAGGAAGAGACGTGCCATTTCCAGGCCCAGGGAAATGTGCTCATCTGTGGGGACACAAATGTGCACACAGGAACACTACCTGATCTAACGACCACACAAGGAGACAGCTTTATTACAGGCCATACTGTTCCTAACTGTCTTAATCTCCCCATAGAAACAACAGTGACAGCACCATCAACAAAAACGGAAGGGATCTGTTGCAGCTCTGTCGAAGCCTGGGTTTGTACTTTGTCAATGGTAGGTTACGGGGGACTATTTGGGGAGATTCACCTATTGCTCACCTCTTGGCCACAGCACAGTAGACTATATGATTACAGACATTGACCCTTTCTCTCTCAGCTCATTCACCGTCAAGCCACTAACACCTCTATCTGATCACAGCCAAATTATGTTGTTCCTCAAAAGAACAGACATGGAAACAGCCACACATTCACAGCCCAGTAAGCTATACAACATCAGAAATTAATGGGCCCAAAACAGCACAGAAGAATACCAGAAAGCAACCAGTAGCCAAAATATTCAAACACTCTTGCTGGATACCACATTCACTCACAGTAAAGAAGGCATCAATCTAGCAGTAAAAAACATAAACTATATATTCAGGCAATGGCAAAAGAAGCACAACTGAAATTTATAAAAAACTAAACAGACCACAGATGACAACTGGTTTGATGAAGATTGTAAAATTATAAGGAAAAAACTTTGAACACTATCAAACCAAAAGCACAGAGATCCAAATAATGGTGAATTACGCCTTCATTACCGTGAGACTTTAAGACTTTATAAACGTACACTCAGAACCAAAAAAGCACAGTACAACAGCAAGCAGCTGACACTAATTGAGGAGTCCCTAAACACAAACAACTTCTGGTAAAATTTGAAAAAACTAAACAAATCTAAACAAGAGGAATTAGCAATACAAAATGGTGACATATTGACAACCCAGATTAAAACACTCTACAACACTGTTAAAATTGACACAAACGCAGAACAATGCCAAATTCATGAGAAGTTGAATGGATTAGAAAAAGCTATAAAGGACAATCAAAATCCATTGGACTCCCGAGTAACTGACCAGGAGCTCTATAAGAAACTTCAGGCCCTCAAATTTAAAAAAGCATGCGGACCTGATGGCATCCTAAATGAGATGCTCAAATTCACTAGTGCAAAATGTAAATTTGGTTATATTAAAACAGTTTAATTTGATCCTGAGTGTAGGTTATTTCCCTGACATCTGGAATCAAGGACTCATAACCCCAATCTTTATGAACGGAGACAAATTTGACCTTAACAATTACAGAGGCATTTGTGTGAACAGTAACCTGGGGAAGATTTTCTGTAGTATTATACATGTTCTAAACTTCCTTAATAAGCACAATGTCTTGAGTAAAAGCCAAATTGGATTTATACCAAAACATCGCACGACCGATCATATTTACACCCTACACACCCTGATAGATAAACATGTCCACCAAAATAATACCAAAATGTACGCTTGCTTTATCGACTTCCAAAAAGCATTTGATTCTATTTGGCATACAGGACTGTTCTACAAAGTTATTGAAAGTGGTGTAGGGGGTAAAACATATGACATAATTAAATCAATGTATACTGGCAATACGTGCAGCATCAAAATTAGCAAGAAAATAACAGAATTCTTTAACCAGGGGCAGGGCCTTCGCCAGGGTTGCAATCTGAGCCCTGCACTCTTCCATATTTACATCAACGAATTGGCCACTATTCTAGAAAAATCCCCAGCCCCTTGTGTTAGTCTCCACAATTCAGAGGTTAAATGCCTGCTCTTCCCAGATGACCTATGCCTGGTGTCACCCACAGCACATGGCCTACAGCAGAGCCTGGACCTGCTAGAGCAGTACTGCCAGACATGGGCACTGGCAGTAAACCCCAAAGAGACAAAAATTATGATTTTCCAGAGAAGATCCAGATCTCAGGGAATTAGACCAAAGTTCTCAATTGGTACAAAATATATAGAGTACTGCACACACTAGAATTACTTAGGTTTAAAAATAAGCTCAACTGGACACCTTAATGATGCAGTGAATGAACTGAGAGAGAAAGCACGAAGGGCATTCTACGCCATTAAAAAACAAAATCAATTTGAAATACCTATTCAAATTTGGCTAAAACGAATTGAATGTGTCATTGAACCAATTGCACTTTATGGCAGCGAGGTGTGGGTCCACTTGCAAAACAAGATTTCACCAAATGGGACAAACACCCCACTGAAACCCTGCATGCAGAGTTCTGTAAGATTCTCCTACATGTCCAGAGGAAAACTACAAACAATGCATGCAGGGCAGAATTAGGCCAATATCCTCTAATAATAAAAAAATAAAAAATAGCAATTACATTTTGGAAACTAAAATACAGTGACCCCCTCTCATATCATTATCAAGCCCTGCAATGCCAGGAGCTGAGCAAAGAAAACAGTCCCCTCATCCAGCTGGTCCTGGGGCTGAGTTCACAAACCTGTTCTACTAAAACACTGAAGCCTCAGGACCAGAACATCCAATCAATCAGAATAAACCAAATTACAACACAGTCAAAACAAAACTACATTGTTTATTGGGAAACACAAGCACAAGCACAAAGTAAAATGCAGTGCTATCTTGCCCTAAATCGACAGTACGCCGTGGCTAACTATTTGACCATGGTTACTGATCAAAACCTTAGAAAAACCTTGACAAAGTACAGGCTCAGTGAGCACAGCCTTTCCATTGAGAAGGGTAGACACAGGAAAACCTGGCTCCCTGTAGAGGAAGGCTGTGCAACCACTGCACCACAGCAGAACCTGAGACAGAGCTGCATTTCCTGACAAAATGTCAAAAATATAGAACAATTAGAGAGGGTCATTTCCCCAAATTTGAAACAGTTTTTCAAGGTTTCAAAGACCTCTCTGATGAGAATAGGCTACCTGTCCTGTTGGGGGAGGACGCAGAGAGCTGTGGGTTGGCAGCGCGCTACATTGCTGCCTGCCATAAGATGAGGGACAGTGTCTGACAGACCAACCAACCAACCTGTCCTCTATATTGTTATTGTTCAATGGTTATTTTGACCCTTGGTTATTGTTGTTACTGTTGTCCCGTTGACAATATTGATTATTATTATTTTAATTATGTTAATAGTGTAAATATCCAAAGTAAGCTTTGGCAATATGTACATTGTTACGTCATGCCAATAAAGCAAATTGAATTGAATTGAATTGAGAGAGAGAGAGAGAGAGAGAGAGAGAGAGAGAGAGAGAGAGAGAGAGAGAGAGAGAGAGAGAGAGAGAGAGAGAGAGTGTGTGTGAGTGAGTGAGTGAGAGAGAGACAAAGATAGAGGGAGATATGGGAAAGGAATGAGCAGCACGGAGCAATAGAGCAAGATGTAAAGGCGCGACAGTTCAATACCTGCCACTCCAGCTTGTCCAATAGCAGCTGGAGCCTGTTGATCTGGGAGCACCAGTGGTCATCAGTCTCCATGGTCACTCCTAGAGAAACACACGCACCAACACCCACAGAGATCCTATTCAATTAGTTCTAAGAGTGATCCTGGTTAACATTATTAATGTCACAGTCTTGCTTCCGTCCCTCTCCTTGCCCCAACCTGGGCTCGAACCAGGGACCCTCTGAACACATCAACTGCCTCCCACGAAGCATCGTTACCTATCGCTACACAAAAGCCTCTGCAAGGGAAACAACTACAATGTCTGAGCGAGTGACATCACCAATTGAAATGCCACTAGCTCGCACCGCTAACTAGCTAGCCATTTCCCACCGGTTACACTAGCATTGGTATTACCTGTAGTGAGGATGCCTGAGTAGGGGTGGGTGGGGGAGAGGCACATGTTCTTCTGAACCTTGCGACCACATCGTCTGCTGTTGCTCTGCACAGAGGGATGCTCCGCCACCTTCACCTCTCTCCTGAAAACAGACAGAATGAGAAACAGAGGAGGAATAAAAGTAAAAAATAAAGGTGTAACTGTCAGAGGCGGTGAGGAAAGCAAGGATGGCGCCGGTCAAAGAAGGAAGCCATTTTGTGGATGGTTCCAAATAACAAGCCCAACATTGTAATTAGCCCTTGGAAGTGTAGGACATGGCATCGACTGCTCAGGGGTGGCCCTAACACTTCAAAATCAAAGATGAAGTGCGTGTGTGTGCGCATCTGAGTCTGGTTGAGTCTTTGTGCCTCTGTTTGTGTTTGTGTGTGACAGAGTAGATGGATGGAGAGCTGCTGTTTTCTCCAGGTTAAGACTGATTACCTCTCCCCAGAGCCAAGGGAGTGTATGACTGGGACAGTTCTCCTGCTGGGCAAGGTAGAAGCCCCAAAGGGCACTGCAGCACGTAGAAGACTACCGCAGATTAAACAGAAAGGAGGACACAGTATCAGGCTGTATTAGGAGTGTGTGTGTATATGTGTATGTGTCTCTCTCTGTATCTGTGTGTGTGTCTACCTCCCCTACATCCACAACCCCATCTATCTGTTTTTGTCCATCTCAGTGACCCATTCTCCCTCTGAACCCCCTCCCTCTTTATCTCTCCCTCTATGTGTCTTTCTCAATCGCTCTCTCCCCCCTCTTCCTCTCCGTCTCTCTCTCATCCTTTCTCTGTATCTCCCTCCCCCCTCTCCCTAGTCTCTCTCTCCCCCTCTTCCTCTCCGTCTCTCTCTCATCCTTTCTCTGTATCTCCCTCCCCCCTCTCCCTAGTCTCTCTCTCCCCCCTCTTCCTCTCCGTCTCTCTCTCATCCTTTCTCTGTATCTCCCTCCCCCCTCTCCCTAGTCTCTCTCTCCCTCTTCCTCTCATCTCTCTCTCATCCTTTCTCTGTATCTCCCTCGCCCCCTCTCCCTAGTCTCTCTCCCCCCCCTCTTCCTCTCCGTCTCTCTCTCTCATCCTTTCTCTGTATCTCCCTCCCCCCTCTCCCTAGTCTCTCTCCTCCCTCTTCCTCTCCGTCTCTCTCTCATCCTTTCTCTGTATCTCCCTCCCCCCCTCTCCCTAGTCTCTCTCCCCCCTCTTGCTCTCCTTCTGTGACTCATCCCCCACAAATCACATCATTATGGCCAATAAACGATGTGCTGGCACCCGGAGGAGCACCACAGTGGACTCCACACTACAGGGCTGCTCAGAGTCTGCTTCCCAAATGGCACCCTATTCTCTACTGTACATAGTGCCCATTGGGCTCCAGTCAAAAGTAGTGCACTATGTAGGGAATAAGGTGCCATTTGGGGTGCAAAGGCTCTGCACGTTGCTATCTGTCACTGGCTATCTGTGTCAATGTTTAACCATCCTAATCGGAGTGCTCCAAGCTGGACAAATGAATAGGTCCACTTAAACAATAGAGCGGACAGCATGAAATGATGATGCATTTAATTACCCCAATTTATGCGTATTTGACTAGAGTGTCCTGATGCATTCATGAAGCAAAAATAAAGTTGTAGTATATTAATTACTGCACTATCCACCAATATAATCCATCCAGAAGTACCCATTACACAGCAAATGTTCATGACATGTTTTAGAGAACACCGTTAAATGACACCCTCTCACATCAGTTCACAGGATGTTGTGTATAATAGCTTTTTTTCTGCAGACTGAGAAGTAAGTGGTTCCTTCCAAGGTACACCACGGAGCAAAGATATACTAGGCAGGATGTTAGATACTCTAGTGTGTGCAGACAGTATCGTCAGTGGAGGAGGAGAGAGAATGTCGAGTGACACACAGTGTTTGATTTGATTTTAGCTGCCGGTGATGGGCAGGACTCGGAGGAAGTATGTTTGCAAATTAATTTGATCAAGCAACAGTATGTAGCCTATTGATTCCTTCTAGATGAATAAATAAAACCAAAATGTTTTGTTGTTTCTCTGTAATACTAGCTACCTAGCAATTTTATGAAGTTGACTTTAGCTAGCCAGCTAGATAGGTTCCAAATCTCCCAAACTCATAACTAGCTATCAATCAAGATAGAGTAACTTGTCTAACAATCTTAGCTAGCATGCCTGCTGGAAAGGTTGCTAGACTTTAGAAAATACTAAACTCAGCAAAAAAAGAAACTGCCTTTCAAAGATAATTCGTAAAATTCCAAATAACTTCACATATCTTCATTGTAAAGGGTTTAAACACTGTTTCCCATGCTTGTTCAATGAACCATAAACAATTAATGAACATGTACCTGTGGAACGGTCGTTAAGACACTAACAGCTTATAGACGGTGGGCAATTAAGGTCAGAGTTATGAAAACTTAGGACACTAAAGACGCCTTTCTACTGACTCTGAAAAACACCAAAAGAAAGATGCGCAGGGTCCCTGCTCATCTGCGTTAACGTGCCTTAGGCATGCTGCAAGGAGGCATGAGGACTGCAGATGTGGCCAGGGCAATAAATTGCAATGTCCATACTGTGAGACGCCTAAGACAGCGCTACAGGGAGACAGGACGGACAGCTGATCGTCCTCGCAGTGGCAGACCACGTGTAACAACACCTGCACAGGATCGGTACATCCGAACATCACACCTGCGGGACAGGTACAGGATGGCAACAACAACTGCCCGAGTTACAACAGGAACGCACAATCCCTCCATCAGTGCTCAGACTGTCCGCAATAGGCTGAGAGAGGCTGGACTGAGGGCTTGTAGGCCTGTCGTAAGGCAGGTCCTCACCAGACATCACCGGCAACAAAGTCGCCTATGGGCACAAACCCACCGTCGCTGGACCAGACAGGACTGGCAAAAAGTGCTCTTCACTGACGAGTCGTGGTTTTGTCTCACCAGGGGTGATGGTCAGATTCGCATTTATCGTCGAAGGAATGAGTGTTACACCGAGGCCTGTACTCTGGAGCAGGATCGATTTGGAGGTGGTGGGTCCGTCATGGTCTGGGGCGGTGTGTCACAGCATCATCGGACTGAGCTTGTTGTCATTGCAGGCAATCTCAACGCTGTGCGTTACAGGGATGCCAGCATGCCAATGCCACCAGCCATTCTGTGCTTTTTTTTTCATGCAAGTAAGGAATGTCGGTGTTCTGCCATGGCCAGCGAAGAGCCCGGATCTCAATCCCATTGAGCACGTCTGGGACCTGTTGGATCGGAGGGTGAGGGCTAGGGCCATTCCCCCCAGAAATGTCTGGGAACTTGCAGGTGCCTTGGTGGAAGAGTGGGGTAACATCTCACAGCAAGAATTGGCAAATCTGGTGCAGTCCATGAGGAGGAGATGCACTGCAGTACTTAATGCAGCTGGTGGCCACACCAGATACTGACTGTTAAATTTTGATTTTGACCCCCCCTTTGTTCAGGGACACATTATTCAATTTCTGTTAGTCACGTGTCTGTGGAACTTTGTCAGTTTATGTCTCAGTTGTTGAATCTTGTTATGTTCATACAAATATTTACACATGTTAAGTTTGCTGAAAATAAATGCAGTTGACAGTGAGAGGACGTTTATATACCAGTGTGGCAGTTGTACTTAACTCCTAAGGCATACAAGTTCTTACAGAATCAATTGTGCATCATTAATTGAAATGACAATTGAACAGGTGAAGAGGTATGCTTATATAAACCTATGCAGAAAAATATATGGCTCTAGATTGCAGGAAAGCTTTTTCAGGTGTTTGAAAAATGCTAACTTCTCTCACTTCCGGAGGTGGGACAGCCCACCCCCCCTCCATCCTCACGTACTTCATGCCCCAATCTAAAATAATGGGTGCATGACACCCCTACTGAGAAGCATCTGTTTATTACTGCCATGTACGTGGGTAGGGAGGCTCTGATGTTCAGTACTGAGGTGCTGGGGTTCAGTACTGTAGTGTATTTGAGAATAGTGTTGTTGAGTAGTAACGTGGTGGCTGGAATGGTGTTGAGTAGTGAGATGGTGCCATAGACTTTAGTAGTGAGATGGTACTATAGTGTTTAGTAGTGAGGTGGTGCTATAGTGTTTAGTAGTGAGGTGGTGCCATAGTGTTTAGTAGTGAGGTGGTGCCATAGTGTTTAGTAGTGAAGTGGTGCTATAGTGTTTAGTAGTGAGGTGGTGCTATAGTGTTTAGTAGTGAGGTGGTGCTATAGTGTTTAGTAGTTAGGTAGTGCTATAGTGTTTAGTAGTGGGGTGGTGCTATAGTGTTTAGTAGTGAGGTGGTGCTATAGTGTTTAGTAGTGGGGTGGTGCTATAGTGTTTAGTAGTGAGGTGGTGCTATAGTGTTTAGTAGTGAGGTGGTGCTATAGTGTTTAGTAGTGAGGTGGTGCCATAGTGTTCAGTAGTGAGATGGTACTATAGTGTTCAGTAGTGAGATGGTACTATAGTGTTCAGTAGTGAGGTGGTACCATAGTGTTCAGTAGTGAGGTGGTGCTATAGTGTTTAGTAGTGAGGTGGTGCTATAGTGTTTAGTAGTGAGGTGGTGCTATAGTGTTTAGTAGTGAGGTGGTGCCATAGTGTTTAGTAGTGAGGTGGTGCCATAGTGTTTAGTAGTGAGGTGGTGCCATAGTGTTTAGTAGTGAGGTGGTGCCATAGTGTTTAGTAGTTAGGTAGTGCTATAGTGTTTAGTAGTGAGGTGGTGCTATAGTGTTTAGTAGTGAGGTGGTGCTATAGTGTTTAGTAGTGAGGTGGTGCCATAGTGTTTAGTAGTGAGGTGGTGCTATAGTGTTTAGTAGTGAGGTGGTGCTATAGTGTTTAGTAGTGAGGTGGTGCTATAGTGTTTAGTAGTGAGGTGGTGCCATAGTGTTCAGTAGTGAGGTGGTGCTATAGTGTTTAGTAGTGAGGTGGTGCTATAGTGTTTAGTAGTGAGGTGGTGCTATAGTGTTTAGTAGTGAGGTGGTGCTATAGTGTTTAGTAGTGAGGTGGGTGCTATAGTGTTTTGAGTAGTGAGGTGGTGCTATAGTGTGTTATAGTGAGGTGGGTGCTATAGTGTTTAGTAGTGAGTGGTGCTATAGTGTTCTAGTAGTGGGGGTGGTGCTATAGTGTTATAGTGGGTGGGCTATTTGGTGCTATAGGTCGTTTTAGTAGTTGAGTGGTGCTATAGTGTTTAGTAGTGAGGTGGTGCTATAGTGTTTAGTAGTGGGGTGGTTGATATAGTGGTTCAGTAGTGAGATGGTACTATAGTGTTTAAGTAGTGGAGGTGGTGCTAGTGTTAGTAGTGAGGTGGTGCCATAGTGTTCAGTAGTGAGATGGTACATAGTGTTTAGTAGTGGGGTGGTGGCTATAGTGTTGTAAGTAGTGAGGTGGTGCTATAGTGTTTAGTAGTGGTGGGTGGTGATATAGTGTTGAGTAGTGGGGTGGTTGCAATAGTGTTTAGTAGTTAGGTAGGCTTAGTGTTTCAGTAGTGAGGTGGTACTATAGTGTTTAGTAGTGAGGTGGTGCTATAGTGTTTAGTAGTGAGGTGGTGCTATAGTGTTTAGTAGTGAGGTGGTGCTATAGTGTTTAGTAGTGAGGTGGTGCCATAGTGTTTAGTAGTGAGGTGGTGCCATAGTGTTTAGTAGTGAGGTGGTGCCATAGTGTTCAGTAGTGAGATGGTACTATAGTGTTTAGTAGTAGGGTGGTGCCATAGTGTTTAGTAGTGAGGTGGTGCTATAGTGTTTAGTAGTGAAGTGGTGCTATAGTGTTTAGTAGTGAGGTGGTGCTATAGTGTTTAGTAGTGAGGTGGTGCCATAGTGTTTAGTAGTGAGGTGGTGCCATAGTGTTTAGTAGTGAAGTGGTGCTATCGTGTTTAGTAGTGGTGTGGTGCCATAGTGTTTAGTAGTGAGGTGGTGCTATAGTGTTTTGTAGTGAGGTGGTGCCATAGTGTTTAGTAGTGAGGTGGTGCCATAGTGTTTAGTAGTGAGGTGGTGCTATAGTGTTTTGTAGTGAGGTGGTGCCATAGTGTTTAGTAGTGAGGTGGTGCCATAGTGTTTAGTAGTGAGGTGGTGCCATAGTGTTTAGTAGTGGGGTGGTGCCATAGTGTTTAGTAGTGAGGTAGTGCCATAGTGTTCAGTAGTGAGGTGGTGCTATAGTGTTTAGTAGTGAGGTGGTGCCATAGTGTTTAGTAGTGAGGTGGTGCTATAGTGTTTAGTAGTGAGGTGGTGCCATAGTGTTTAGTAGTGAGGTGGTGCAATAGTGTTTAGTAGTGAGGTGGTGCCATAGTGTTTAGTAGTGAAGTGGTGCTATAGTGTTTAGTAGTGAGGTGGTGCCATAGTGTTTAGTAGTGAAGTGGTGCTATAGTGTTTAGTAGTGGGGTGGTACCATAGTGTTTAGTAGTGAGGTGGTGCTATAGTGTTTTGTAGTGAGGTGGTGCCATAGTGTTTAGTAGTGAGGTGGTGCCATAGTGTTTAGTAGTGAAGTGGTGCTATAGTGTTTAGTAGTGAGGTGGTGCCATAGTGTTTAGTAGTGGGGTGGTGCCATAGTGTTTAGTAGTGAGGTGGTGCTATAGTGTTTAGTAGTGAGGTGGTGCCATAGTGTTTAGTAGTGAGGTGGTGCTATAGTGTTTAGTAGTGAGGTGGTACTATAGTGTTTAGTAGTGAGGTGGTGCTATAGTGTTTAGTAGTGGGGTGGTGCTATAGTGTTTAGTAGTGAAGTGGTGCCATAGTGTTCAGTAGTGAGGTGGTGCCATAGTGTTTAGTAGTGAGGTGGTGCCATAGTGTTTTGTAGTGGGGTGGTGCTATAGTGTTTAGTAGTGAGGTGGTGCCATAGTGTTTTGTAGTGAAGTGGTGCTATAGTGTTTAGTAGTGAGGTGGTGCTATAGTGTTTAGTAGTGAGGTGGTGCTATAGTGTTTAGTAGTGAGGTGGTGCCATAGTGTTTAGTAGTGGGGTGGTGCTATAGTGTTTAGTAGTGAGGTGGTGCTATAGTGTTTAGTAGTGAGGTGGTGAGGTGGTGCCATAGTGTTTAGTAGTGAGGTGGTGCAATAGTGTTTAGTAGTGGGGTGGTGCCATAGTGTTTAGTAGTGAGGTGGTGCTATAGTGTTTAGTAGTGAGGTGGTGCCATAGTATTTAGTAGTGAGGTGGTGCCATAGTGTTTAGTAGTGGGGTGGTGCTATAGTGTTTAGTAGTTAGGTAGTGCTATAGTGTTTAGTAGTGAGGTGGTGCTATAGTGTTTAGTAGTGAGGTGTTGCTATAGTGTTTAGTAGTGGGGTGGTGCCATAGTGTTCAGTAGTGAGGTGGTGCTATAGTGTTTAGTAGTGAGGTGGTGCTATAGTGTTTAGTAGTGAGGTGGTGCTATAGTGTTTAGTAGTGAGATGGTACTATAGTGTTTAGTAGTGAGGTGGTGCTATAGTGTTTAGTAGTGAGGTGGTGCTATAGTTTTTAGTAGTGAGGTGGTGCCATAGTGTTTAGTAGTGGGGTGGTGCTATAGTGTTTAGTAGTGAGGTGGTGCTATAGTGTTTAGTAGTTTGTTGGTGCCATAGTGTTTAGTAGTGAGGTGGTGCTATAGTGTTTAGTAGTGAGGTGGTGCCATAGTGTTTAGTAGTGAGGTGGTGCTATAGTGTTTAGTAGTGAGGTGGTACTATAGTGTTTAGTAGTGAGGTGGTGCTATAGTGTTTAGTAGTGGGGTGGTGCTATAGTGTTTAGTAGTGAAGTGGTGCCATAGTGTTCAGTAGTGAGGTGGTGCCATAGTGTTTAGTAGTGAGGTGGTGCCATAGTGTTTTGTAGTGGGGTGGTGCTATAGTGTTTAGTAGTGAGGTGGTGCCATAGTGTTTAGTAGTGAAGTGGTGCTATAGTGTTTAGTAGTGAGGTGGTGCTATAGTGTTTAGTAGTGAGGTGGTGCTATAGTGTTTAGTAGTGAGGTGGTGCCATAGTGTTTAGTAGTGGGGTGGTGCTATAGTGTTTAGTAGTGAGGTGGTGCTATAGTGTTTAGTAGTGAGGTGGTGAGGTGGTGCCATAGTGTTTAGTAGTGAGGTGGTGCAATAGTGTTTAGTAGTGGGGTGGTGCCATAGTGTTTAGTAGTGAGGTGGTGCTATAGTGTTTAGTAGTGAGGTGGTGCCATAGTATTTAGTAGTGAGGTGGTGCCATAGTGTTTAGTAGTGGGGTGGTGCTATAGTGTTTAGTAGTTAGGTAGTGCTATAGTGTTTAGTAGTGAGGTGGTGCTATAGTGTTTAGTAGTGAAGTGGTGCTATCGTGTTTAGTAGTGGTGTGGTGCCATAGTGTTTAGTAGTGAGGTGGTGCTATAGTGTTTTGTAGTGAGGTGGTGCCATAGTGTTTAGTAGTGAGGTGGTGCCATAGTGTTTAGTAGTGAGGTGGTGCTATAGTGTTTTGTAGTGAGGTGGTGCCATAGTGTTTAGTAGTGAGGTGGTGCCATAGTGTTTAGTAGTGAGGTGGTGCCATAGTGTTTAGTAGTGGGGTGGTGCCATAGTGTTTAGTAGTGAGGTAGTGCCATAGTGTTCAGTAGTGAGGTGGTGCTATAGTGTTTAGTAGTGAGGTGGTGCCATAGTGTTTAGTAGTGAGGTGGTGCTATAGTGTTTAGTAGTGAGGTGGTGCCATAGTGTTTAGTAGTGAGGTGGTGCAATAGTGTTTAGTAGTGAGGTGGTGCCATAGTGTTTAGTAGTGAAGTGGTGCTATAGTGTTTAGTAGTGAGGTGGTGCCATAGTGTTTAGTAGTGAAGTGGTGCTATAGTGTTTAGTAGTGGGGTGGTACCATAGTGTTTAGTAGTGAGGTGGTGCTATAGTGTTTTGTAGTGAGGTGGTGCCATAGTGTTTAGTAGTGAGGTGGTGCCATAGTGTTTAGTAGTGAAGTGGTGCTATAGTGTTTAGTAGTGAGGTGGTGCCATAGTGTTTAGTAGTGGGGTGGTGCCATAGTGTTTAGTAGTGAGGTGGTGCTATAGTGTTTAGTAGTGAGGTGGTGCCATAGTGTTTAGTAGTGAGGTGGTGCTATAGTGTTTAGTAGTGAGGTGGTACTATAGTGTTTAGTAGTGAGGTGGTGCTATAGTGTTTAGTAGTGGGGTGGTGCTATAGTGTTTAGTAGTGAAGTGGTGCCATAGTGTTCAGTAGTGAGGTGGTGCCATAGTGTTTAGTAGTGAGGTGGTGCCATAGTGTTTTGTAGTGGGGTGGTGCTATAGTGTTTAGTAGTGAGGTGGTGCCATAGTGTTTAGTAGTGAAGTGGTGCTATAGTGTTTAGTAGTGAGGTGGTGCTATAGTGTTTAGTAGTGAGGTGGTGCTATAGTGTTTAGTAGTGAGGTGGTGCCATAGTGTTTAGTAGTGGGGTGGTGCTATAGTGTTTAGTAGTGAGGTGGTGCTATAGTGTTTAGTAGTGAGGTGGTGAGGTGGTGCCATAGTGTTTAGTAGTGAGGTGGTGCAATAGTGTTTAGTAGTGGGGTGGTGCCATAGTGTTTAGTAGTGAGGTGGTGCTATAGTGTTTAGTAGTGAGGTGGTGCCATAGTATTTAGTAGTGAGGTGGTGCCATAGTGTTTAGTAGTGGGGTGGTGCTATAGTGTTTAGTAGTTAGGTAGTGCTATAGTGTTTAGTAGTGAGGTGGTGCTATAGTGTTTAGTAGTGAGGTGTTGCTATAGTGTTTAGTAGTGGGGTGGTGCCATAGTGTTCAGTAGTGAGGTGGTGCTATAGTGTTTAGTAGTGAGGTGGTGCTATAGTGTTTAGTAGTGAGGTGGTGCTATAGTGTTTAGTAGTGAGATGGTACTATAGTGTTTAGTAGTGAGGTGGTGCTATAGTGTTTAGTAGTGAGGTGGTGCTATAGTTTTTAGTAGTGAGGTGGTGCCATAGTGTTTAGTAGTGGGGTGGTGCTATAGTGTTTAGTAGTGAGGTGGTGCTATAGTGTTTAGTAGTTTGTTGGTGCCATAGTGTTTAGTAGTGAGGTGGTGCTATAGTGTTTAGTAGTGAGGTGGTGCCATAGTGTTTAGTAGTGAGGTGGTGCTATAGTGTTTAGTAGTGAGGTGGTACTATAGTGTTTAGTAGTGAGGTGGTACTATAGTGTTAGTAGTGAGGTGGTGCTATAGTGTTTAGTAGTGGGGTGGTGCTATAGTGTTTAGTAGTGAAGTGGTGCCATAGTGTTCAGTAGTGAGGTGGTGCCATAGTGTTTAGTAGTGAGGTGGTGCCATAGTGTTTTGTAGTGGGGGTGGTGCTATAGTGTTTAGTAGTGAGGTGGTGCCATAGTGTTTAGTAGTGAAGTGGTGCTATAGTGTTTAGTAGTGAGGTGGTGCTATAGTGGTTTAGTAGTGAGGTGGTGCTATAGTGTTTAGTAGTGAGGTGGTGCCATAGTGTTTAGTAGTGGGGTGGTGCTATAGTGTTTAGTAGTGAGGTGGTGCTATAGTGTTTAGTAGTGAGGTGGTGAGGTGGTGCCATAGTGTTTAGTAGTGAGGTGGTGCAATAGTGTTTAGTAGTGGGGTGGTGCCATAGTGTTTAGTAGTGAGGTGGTGCTATAGTGTTTAGTAGTGAGGTGGTGCCATAGTATTTAGTAGTGAGGTGGTGCCATAGTGTTTAGTAGTGGGGTGGTGCTATAGTGTTTAGTAGTTAGGTAGTGCTATAGTGTTTAGTAGTGAGGTGGTGCTATAGTGTTTAGTAGTGAGGTGTTGCTATAGTGTTTAGTAGTGGGGTGGTGCCATAGTGTTCAGTAGTGAGGTGGTGCTATAGTGTTTAGTAGTGAGGTGGTGCTATAGTGTTTAGTAGTGAGGTGGTGCTATAGTGTTTAGTAGTGAGATGGTACTATAGTGTTTAGTAGTGAGGTGGTGCTATAGTGTTTAGTAGTGAGGTGGTGCTATAGTTTTTAGTAGTGAGGTGGTGCCATAGTGTTTAGTAGTGGGGTGGTGCTATAGTGTTTAGTAGTGAGGTGGTGCTATAGTGTTTAGTAGTTTGTTGGTGCCATAGTGTTTAGTAGTGAGGTGGTGCTATAGTGTTTAGTAGTGGGGTGGTGCCATAGTGTTTAGTAGTGAGGTGTTGCTATAGTGTTTAGTAGTGGGGTGGTGCCATAGTGTTCAGTAGTGAGGTGGTGCTATAGTGTTTAGTAGTGAGGTGGTGCTATAGTGTTTAGTAGTGAGGTGGTGCTATAGTGTTTAGTAGTGAGATGGTACTATAGTGTTTAGTAGTGAGGTGGTGCTATAGTGTTTAGTAGTGAGGTGGTGCTATAGTTTTTAGTAGTGAGGTGGTGCCATAGTGTTTAGTAGTGGGGTGGTGCTATAGTGTTTAGTAGTGAGGTGGTGCTATAGTGTTTAGTAGTTTGTTGGTGCCATAGTGTTTAGTAGTGATGTCGTGCTATAGTGTTTAGTAGTGGGGTGGTGCCATAGTGTTTAGTAGTGAGGTGGTGCTATAGTGTTTAGTAGTGGGGTGGTGCTATAGTGTTTAGTAGTTAGGTAGTGCTATAGTGTTTAGTAGTGGGGTGGTGCTATAGTGTTTAGTAGTGAGGTGGTGCTATAGTGTTTAGTAGTGAGGTGGTGCTATAGTGTTTAGTAGTTAGGTAGTGCTATAGTGTTTAGTAGTGAGGTGGTGCTATAGTGTTTAGTAGTTAGGTAGTGCTATAGTGTTTAGTAGTGAGGTGGTGCTATAGTGTTTAGTAGTGAGGTGGTGCTATAGTGTTTAGTAGTGAGGTGGTGCTATAGTGTTTAGTAGTGGGGTGGTGCCATAGTGTTTAGTAGTGAGGTGGTGCCATAGTGTTTAGTAGTGAGGTGGTGCTATAGTGTTTAGTAGTGGGGTGGTGCCATAGTGTTTAGTAGTGAGGTGGTGCTATAGTGTTTAGTAGTGAGGTGTTGCTATAGTGTTTAGTAGTGGGGTGGTGCCATAGTGTTCAGTAGTGAGGTGGTGCTATAGTGTTTAGTAGTGAGGTGGTGCTATAGTGTTTAGTAGTTAGGTAGTGCTATAGTGTTTAGTAGTGGGGTGGTGCTATAGTGTTTAGTAGTGGGGTGGTGCCATAGTGTTTAGTAGTGAGGTGGTGCTATAGTGTTTAGTAGTTAGGTAGTGCTATAGTGTTTAGTAGTGAGGTGGTGCCATAGTGTTTAGTAGTGAGGTGGTGCTATAGTGTTTAGTAGTGAGGTGGTGCTATAGTGTTTAGTAGTGGGGTGGTGCTATAGTGTTTAGTAGTGGGGTGGTGCTATAGTGTTTAGTAGTGGGGTGGTGATATAGTGTTTAGTAGTGGGGTGGTGCCATAGTGTTTAGTAGTGAGGTGGTGCCATAGTGTTTAGTAGTGAGGTGGTGCTATAGTGTTTAGTAGTGAGGTGGTGCCATAGTGTTTAGTAGTGAGGTGGTGCCATAGTGTTTAGTAGTGGGGTGGTGCTATAGTGTTTAGTAGTTAGGTAGTGCTATAGTGTTTAGTAGTGAGGTGGTGCTATAGTGTTTAGTAGTGAGGTGGTGCTATAGTGTTTAGTAGTGGGGTGGTGCCATAGTGTTCAGTAGTGAGGTGGTGCTATAGTGTTTAGTAGTGAGGTGGTGCTATAGTGTTTAGTAGTGAGGTGGTGCTATAGTTTTTAGTAGTGAGGTGGTGCCATAGTGTTTAGTAGTGGGGTGGTGCTATAGTGTTTAGTAGTGAGGTGGTGCCATAGTGTTTAGTAGTGGGGTGGTGCCATAGTGTTTAGTAGTGAGGTGGTGCTATAGTGTTTAGTAGTGTGTTGGTGCCATAGTGTTTAGTAGTGAGGTGGTGCTATAGTGTTTAGTAGTGGGGTGGTGCCATAATGTTTAGTAGTGAGGTGGTGCTATAGTGTTTAGTAGTGGGGTGGTGCTATAGTGTTTAGTAGTGAGGTGGTGCTATAGTGTTTAGTAGTGGGGTGGTGCTATAGTGTTTAGTAGTGGGGTGGTGCTATAGTGTTTAGTAGTGGGGTGGTGATATAGTGTTTAGTAGTGAGGTGGTGCCATAGTGTTTAGTAGTGAGGTGGTGCCATAGTGTTTAGTAGTGAAGTGGTGCCATAGTGTTTAGTAGTGGGGTGGTGCCATAGTGTTCAGTAGTGAGGTGGTGCTATAGTGTTCAGTAGTGGGGTGGTGCTATAGTGTTTAGTAGTGAGGTGGTGCTATAGTGTTTAGTAGTGGGGTGGTGCTATAGTGTTTAGTAGTTAGGTAGTGCTATAGTGTTTAGTAGTGGGGTGGTGCTATAGTGTTTAGTAGTGGGGTGGTGCCATAGTGTTTGGTAATGGGGTGGTGCCATTTTTTTTAGTTGTGAGGTGCAGCTGGCGTGGTGTTGAGTCGTGAGGTGCCGTTGTGTATCAGAGACTGGGTATTGAGTAATAAGATGGTACTGCCATAGTGTTTAGGTGTGTTGAGCACTAGCGACTTACGGTGCAGGATTGCTCTGCTCTTCCACGGCCTCCATGGCACACTGCAGGGACATTTGAAGAGAGAGCAGCTGGCTGGAGGTCTCCCTCAGCATGAAGCGGGTCACAAACTGGCCCAGCACAGAGGAGCCCTGGTACTCCTAACGAGGGAAAGGAGATGAAGGAGAGGGGGGAGAGGGAGAGGGGAGGTGGGGGAGAAAGGTTGGGAAGGGAGAGAGGGTGGGGGTGGGGGGGAGAGAGATTTGGAGGGAGAGGTAGTGAGGGGGTTGCGGAGAGAGAGCGAGCGAGAGGGAACAGGTTGGCAACCTTTACTCGGAGAGCCCAAATCAATTCTAAGAGCGGTTGAGCTCACGACAGCTAAAGCATTAGGAGATAAGATTATTAACATATAGTAACAGCTACCAAAGGTGATTACATATGTTTTACTCAAATTAATGTGTTACTATTCACCGCATACATGATTCTTGGCCTTTTTGAATATTGGCCATGGAATGGTTTTCATACAATACCAGTTATTCTAAATGTAACTAGCGGGAGACTCGTCCTAACAAGAATGTAACTGTAATATGGGCCCTGGTCAAAAGTAGTGCACTATATGATGAATAGGGTGCAATTTGGGAGGCAACCCTTGCTACACTCTTAGAAAAAAGGGTTCCAAAAGGGTTCTTCGGCTGTCCCCATTGGATAACCCTTTCTGTTTCCAGGTAGAACCCTCTGTATAAAGGGTTCTACATGGAACTCAAAAGGGTTCTACCTGGAACCAAAAGGATCCTACCTTGAACCAAAAAGGGTTATTCAAAGGGTTATCCTATGGGGACAGCTGAAGAACCCTTTTAGGTTCTAGATGTCACCTTTTTTCTAAGAGTGTACTGTAGATAAATACCAAGGTTCTAGTCTAGGGCCTTGGTGGTGATATTTGTGACAGCTGCTAACAATCGCTAGCGAAGCAAAAACCTCTATGGATTTTCCTTCTGACAACATATAAGGAAGTGAATGGAAGAATGGGGCTTTAATTGTGACAGGGTGCATAATTATGCAGTAACAGTCCCCTCTTTTTCTAACAGGGATTGCTGGGTTTTCTCGTTCCTTTACTGATGTGCTTCACTGATTCCTGGGTTAGCTAATGTTTAAACTTTTTCAAACGGCTCAGAGATTTTCTCTCTGCTCCACTCCAATATCATCTATAAGTTTCAGTAGCAGATGGGAAATTCTACGATAAACTCTGATTTTTCACTTTAAAATCTATGCCAAACAAAAAACATTGATTTCAAAGTTTAACAAACCATACAACTCTATGCACAATGACTACTTTGAACAGTACGTTTACAAAAAAAAAACAGTGCAGATGCATTTTGGCCCGCAGGTGATTTTATCTGCCTAGAGATACAGTGGATAGAACAAGTATTTGATACACTGCCGATTTTGCAGGTTTTCCTACTTACAAAGCATGTAGAGGTCTGTAATTTTTATCATAGGTACACTTCAACTGTGAGAGACGGAATCTAAAACAAAAATCCAGAAAATCACATTGTATGATTTTTAAGTAATTCATTGCATGACATAAGTATTTGATACATCAGAAAAGCAGAACTTAATATTTGGTACAGAAACCTTTGTTTGCAATTACAGAGATCATACGTTTCCTGTAGGTCTTGACCAGGTTTGCACACACTGCAGCAGGGATTTTGGCCCACTCCTCCATACAGACCTTCTCCAGATCCTTCAGGTTTCTGGGCTGTCACTGGGCAATACGGACTTTCAGCTCCCTCCAAAGATGTTCTATTGGGTTCAGGTCTGGAGACTGGCTAGGCCCTCCAGGACCTTGAGATGCTTCTTACGGAGCCACTCCTTAGTTGCCCTGGCTGTGTGTTTCGGGTCGTTGTCATGCTGGAAGACCCAGCCACGACCCATCTTCAATGCTCTTACTGAGGGAAGGAGGTTGTTGACCAAGATCTCGCGATACATGGCCCCATCCATCCTCCCCTCAATACGGTGCAGTCGTCCTGTCCCCTCTGCAGAAAAGCATCCCCAAAGAATGATGTTTCCACCTCCATGCTTCACGGTTGGGATGGTGTTCTTGGGGTTGTACTCATCCTTCTTCTTCCTCCAAACACGGCGAGTGGAGTTTAGACCAAAAAGCTATATTTTTGTCTCATCAGACCACATGACCTTCTCCCATTCCTCCTCTGGATCATCCAGATGGTCATTGGCAAACTTCAGACGGGCCTGGACATGCGCTGGCTTGAGCAGGGGGACCTTACGTGCGCTGCAGGATTTTAATCCATGACGGCGTAGTGTGTTACTAATGGTTTTCTTTGAGACTGTGGTCCCAGCTCTCTTCAGGTCAATGACCAGGTCCTGCCGTGTAGTTCTGGGCTGATCCCTCACCTTCCTCATGATCATTGATGCCCCACGAGATGAGATCTTGCATGGAGCCCCAGACCGAGGGTGATTGACCGTCATCTTGAACTTCTTCAATTTTCTAATAATTGTGCCAACAGTTATTGCCTTCTCACCAAGCTGCTTGCCTATTGTCCTGTAGCCCATCCTAGCCTTGTGCAGGTCTACAATTTTATCCCTGATGTCCTTACACAGCTCTCTGGTCTTGGCCATTGTGGAGAGGTTGGAGTCTGTTTGATTGAGTGTGTGGACAGGTGTCTTTTATACAGGTAACGAGTTCAAACAGGTGCAGTTAATACAGGTAATGAGTGGAGAACAGGAGGGCTTCTTAAATAAAAACTAACAGGTCTGTGAGAGCCGGAATTCTTACTGGTTGGTAGGTGATCAAATACTTATGTCATCCAATAAAATGCAAATGAATTACTTAAAAATCATACAATGTGATTTTCTGGATTTTTGTTTTAGATTCCGTCTCTCACAGTTGAAGTGTACCTATGATAAAAATTACAGACCTCTACATGCTTTGTAAGTAGGAAAACCTGCAAAATCGGCAGTGTATCAAATACTTGTTCTCCCCACTGTATATGTGATCATATACAAATATAAGATATATTTGAAATGATTATGTTTTAATCAAATACTATATATGTTTTGGCTTCTTGCGGTCAATTTGCAGTCCACAAATTATTTGTAATTATGTTCTGGACCCATGAGCATCCGATCAAGAAAAAATCGTCCCGGGGCTGAATCTAATCGATGATCCCTAATATAGACCATAATATGATGGTAATGAATGCAGATATGCTTGGCTGGACTATTTCTACACCAATATTGTTGCTGGACTCACACTAGCTAGATTGCCTCCATCTGTGCAGAGGAGCCTTTTTTTTATCTCAAAGTCATGAATCAGTTGAATGGTGGGAAACTAGCCTCTAATCAATGGACTTTGGAGCATTTACTGTTCATAATACAATACATAGGTAGGCTATATTCTGTAGCCTATATCATAGGGTATACTCTACATAGGGTATGTTCTAAAGCCTTTATCTATCCTATAGAGTATACTCTGAGTCGGTATTAACAATTTCCCCACCTTGGGGGAAAACACGGGGGAGTTCTCATAAACCACCAGCAAAAATAAAACCTATTTATATTTCGCGTATAAGTGCATTTCATGCTACATTTGGATTATAATTGGATTGTAAGGCTCATATGAATGTCCTGCTTAATTTAATGTTTGTGTCATCGTCGCAAATCAACTGCATTATACTTTAAAAACACTTAAACTTCAACCAGTAAAATGATTATTTGGCTAGCTTTGCTACAGTCTATGTCAATGAGCGTTAGCATTCTAGCTAACAACTGCTGCATTCAAAAATAGGTATTTTGCAACGATCACAACCAAATATAATCTTAGCGACCGTTCAAACAATAATCAAAACAACATTACAAGCATATGAGAATCCCAAAAAGTGTTTTTGTTTAGAAGTAATAACTCCGTAAATCTAGACTAAATTGAGTGGGTGCAGATGGCGAACGGCATTTGTTTTCCCCACGGTGGCTGTTAAAAAGGCCAGCTCTTATTGAGCAGTTACATCACCCCTATTCTAGTAGATGTTATATATTGAACAAAAATATAAAAGCAACATGTAAAGTGTTGGTCCCATGTTACATGAGCTGAAATAAAAGATCCCAGAAATGTTCCATATGCACAAAAATATTATTTATCTCAATCTTTTTGCACACATTTGTTTACATCCCTGTTAGTGTGCATTTCTCCTTTGCCAAGATAATCCATCCACATGACAGGTGTGGCATATCAAGAAGCTGATTAAACAGCATGATCCTTACACAGGTGCACCTTGTGCTGGGGACAATAAAAGGCCACTCTAAAATGTGCAGTTTTGTCACACAAAACAATGCCACAGATGTTTCGAGGGAGTGTGCAATTGACATGCTGACTGTAGGAATGTCCTCCAGAGTTGTTGCCAGAGAATTTCCTTTTATGAAAAGTAACTCAGTAAAATTGTTGAAATATTAATATTTTTGTTCTGTATATTTGCCCAACACCCCTTATTTTCACAATATTGGTACCTCCAAGTCACCCCACTTGTACCAGCCAATCATAGTTCACCATTCCCCGTGCACCTCACTGAACCCCATGCTGCTGCCTTCATAGTGAGATTGCAGTCAGAAATGAATGGACTCATTGAACTGTACCTAAAGTTGATCTGTATTTGACTTGTGTTAGTGCGCACATTTAAGTGTAAGTACTGCACATGTCATTGCTTCTTTAGTTGGGTTTTGCTAAGGCAGTCTAGTTATTTACCATGTTTATAATGTTTAAAAAGTATTTTACTTTTCCATGTCCGTCATGCTTGTTCTAGCCTGCTAGCCAAGATGTTAGCCAGTCATGCTAGCTCATTTATGCTCATTTAGGATTATTCTGTTAATACGGTTTGCTTATAGACATAGTATCTTTAATAGCCATGTGACGGACATTTACAACCTTTATGTAATGTAGCCTCATGCTACCGTGTACTGTATTTAGCCTTATGTAGCATATAGCTTAATTTAGCCTGTACCTTTACTAGTGGCGCAGTTACTATTGGTCGTGGTCTTGTGCACATGTGTAGACGTCGGTTACATTCCAGTCATGTTGTCAATTATTATGCTTAAAAGTATTTGGGTCTTCATCCTGTAAATGTATTTCTATAGCCTGTGTATTTGGTTTTGCCCCTTACATTATATATTGGCATAAGCAGTATAGAGATTGTGTATATATGTCATTATGTGTATTCAAGATACTAGCATGTATACCTCCACAGTCTACTGGGCCTGTATATTGTATATAAGTCTATACTCATGGTAATTATTTGTCTTCTATCTTTCCATAGAACCACTTTTTTGACACTCTCACTTTTACTATGAGCCATCATTACAGAGGAGTGTGGTGTGTTGAACCCAATACCTGCAATAAACCTGTCTGAAGATATCTTGGTTCTTGCCGGACAGAGCTGTGGTGGCTGAACCCTATCCATTGGCACCGAATAGCTCTC